GGGAGGCAGCGCTCGGCAACGGGCCCGGGCCAGGCGGGAGACGGCTCCGGGCACCGGGGTGGGCCGCAGCCCCCAGCTCCCGCGGTCGCCCCTGCAGCACCCAGTGCACCCTGGCTGCCCCCCAGCAGCGACGGGGAGCACGGGAGCAGGGTGGGCACTGAGCGCCGCACTGCAGATGTGCCCCTCTGTGCGTGGATGTGCACACGTGTGCAGAAGTGCACTGGTGTGCACACGTCCTGCTGGCCCAGCTGCCCCCGGCTCACTGCCGGCCCCCAGGCCTGGGATCCCAGCGCGGCCCAGAGCCAGCCGACGGGAGACCCCGGCACTGGGAGCTGGGCAGGGGCTGCCCCCGGCCGCTCCTGCTGTGCCACGTCTTCACAAACCAGGTCGGGGTGACCGCAGGTGCCAGGGGGCCCAGCCAGGCCGCGATCGTGGCGCTGGGCGTGCGTGAGCCGTGGGGCGCTAGCTGGTGGGATGGGCAAGGGCAGCGGGGGCGAGCCGTGTGCCTTGAAGCCTCTATGCAGCCATGTGCGCGTGCAAGCCACGGAGCGTGTGCGTGTCCCCGGCCGCCCGGCGCAGACGGGGGGTTGTTAAACCAGTGAAATATGTGATGCCTTTATCTCCCGGACAGGGGTTTTAATTAAATTAATTGCCAGCGACGCTGTAAAAGTGCTGATGGGGTAATAACCACCCGTGACGGCGCCGTTCGTCTTCCCCGCGCAAATGAGCTGCAGCACCTTGACTTCGCCGCCCAACCCGAGCCGGTGCCGGGGCCCCATGCGGCCACCAGCCCCAGCCGCCTCCCTCCCCCTTGTCTGGCTGTGCTGGGAGGGCCTGGCGGGAGCCGACCTGCCCTGGGCGTCAGTGACCTCTGCCCGGCCTGGAGCCACACAGGCAGGTCCCAGGGAGTTCCCCCTGCACGGCCCGGGGGGCCAGGGCTACAGACACCCCCTCCGCCGGGCTGCAGCCCAGGTGGGCAGGAGTCAGCTGGCACCGGGGGGTGCCGCCCGGCCTGTGGGCACTGTCCACGGGGTGCACCGTGCCTGGCAGTGTGGGGTCTGGCCTGGCGGCAGTCGGCACCACGAGTGAGGAGCACCTGGCACTGCCCGGGAGGCAGGGGTGCCAACACCAGCCCATGCGAGGCCTCTGCCCCTTGCCCATGGCCCCCACTCCCCCGGGGCAGGGGCAGGGGAGGGGCCGCGGCCGGGCGGGCAGGTCGGGGATGCCCCAGGTGCTGCCCCCGGGGTGAGGTGAGGCAAGGAGAGGCCCAGCTCGCGCGGGGCAGGGGGAGGTGGGCGCGGGGCTGGCGCGGGAGCCGGTGCACTTAATTACTGCGCATTCCATTCCTTTTAATTGCTTATTAAATCCTAACCAGCCAATTACCAGCAGCAATTACCGCTCCATTCAGTGACACAATCGCTATTTTATCATTTGTTAATCAAATGCTTATTTAGGGCCTGGGTTTATTAACTCTTTCTGCTGCCAGGGCCTGGGCACGTGGGGGAGGGGAGCTGGCAGGGGGGTGGTCCTGCAGCGGCTGCACCCCGGGGGCCATCACAGGCCTTGCTGCTCTCAGGGCCTGTGCTCGGGGCTGGCATGGCGCCGAGGCCCGGGGAAGCGAGCGGCGTCCCTTTCTGGTCACACTACATTTCCCTTTCATTAGCAGCTAAGTGCGGACATGAGGGATCCGTGCGGGACCAGCGGGCCGTGCCGCCGTCAGGCTGATGGATGGGCTGGGGGGCTCCGAGAGTCAGGCTGGGGCCCGGCCGCTGCCACAGGCCTCCCCCGGCCCAGCCGGGGCCTGGGGGGCCCGACGCC